GGTGATAGTGAACAAGATGAACAAGGAGACGGCCGACGGGAAAGACGCGGAGGGCCGTGGCAAGGACGAGGCGAGCACGATTCGTTCCCAAACGACCGACCTCGTAGCGAGAACTAACATTGAGAACGGTGCACTAGTCGCGAACGCTACCCAATCCAAAGAGACCGACAGTCCGCACGAGCACGAGGACACGCCTGGTGTCGATATCAGTATACCGATGCAAATGGTAACCACCGTTTTCTGTGTGTCCGTACTGTGTTACAGCGTTCTAATCAATCTGTTCCTGTAACCCTCCGCCGTCTGTAGACGTGCCAACGCGACCCCGTCCCCCTTACCCCTTTCCCCGTTCGCGGCGCGTTTAATACGTTCTGCCTTCAGAGTCCAAGCCCAAGAGTCCGTTCTCTCTTCTCTTTTTCCACTTTCGTTCGTTTTCTCTTCGCCTCTCCTACCTTTCTTTTTGAATGTTCTTCTGATTTTTTTCCGTTCGCTCGTCGGTGTTGCTCGTGAAAAGACTGTGCAGACTGCCCTCACGGAAACAGACGAGACTGCCTTCGATAGCAAGCTCCGATGCAGCAGTTTCTTCTCTCCCCGCCGACCCCTCGTTCGTTCGTCTCTGGCCACCGTTCGTTATTTTTATCTGTACGCCAGCCTGTGGACTCCCTGGTAGCCGGGTTCGGTTCTCGGTCGTGTTCCCCTCGAGTCGATCGGGGCCGAGAAAGAATGCCGCAGGCTCGCGGAACGTTTGTTCTAAGTCGCGTCGCCTAGGCGGGCAGAGCCGATATAGTATGACGGGCGCGGGCCAATGGAATTCCTACGGTGGCCAGGGGCCGCGAACCTGAAAACTCTCGCTGACATTTTCCCTATTTACCTTCGGAAACTGCTGCCCCGGAATCTTTCATCTCAGTTACCTCCCTCCACGACCACCTACACACGCTTAGCTGTCGCGTCCTCCGATCGATAGAACCGTCATCGCATCCAGAGACGATTATCAACCGTTTCAGGACGGGCTAACATTCATTTAAACACGATTTTTCTTTTTGCTCCGAAAATTCGCTTTTATACGATCGACTCGTAAGTAGACTATACCATAGAGCCTGATTTCACGGTTTTCTTTCATCGCAAGACTGATCTTTCTTTTGCTAGTTGATTTTGCTAGTTGATTTTGCTAGTTGATTTTGCTAGCCGACTTCGCTAGTTGATTTTGCTACCAGTAGTACAAAGCGCAATGCATTTTCGTTGATCATCCTGTTACTTTCACTTTGCATTTTGAAGAAAGAACTTTCTAGCTGATATTTTTAATCTATCGTTCATTTTTACGATTAGTCACCGGTAGAATAATGTCATGTGAATGTGAATGTGTAACCCGCACCTAGACAATCGTAGTTGGACACTGTGGTGACCGCAGAACGTTAACCCTCCCAGGAAATGCCCGGATCGCAGAGTGTAACGTGCCCGTCCTGAACCGGTTGGCAAAACAATCGAAACAGTAATATTAATATTAATATTAATATTAATATTAATGATGACACAGAGTGTAGAGAACGCTGAACCGCGTAGCAGTAATGTTGTTGTATGTTGGTGGAACTTGCATTTTTCTACATTGTGATACTCGTACGTACGATCGTAACTCTTTGTTGTTCCTATCGTTGACTCCCGCGACACGTGCCCCCGCCATTGCTCAATTGACACACGTACACGTGCATAACGCACACCCAGAGTCGTCTACAGGAGAGTAAACGCTCGCCGACTCGCTCGCTCGCTTCGCGCGTCGGCTAACGCTAGACGAGCGCAGTGAGAAACAACCGTCCTTCCAAAAGCAGCTTAAATCCACGCTGAAGCGAAGCTGCTTCAGTCGTTCCCATTGATCGGACCGCGGGGACGGTTTGTCACCCCTCGAGCCGCGTTTCTGCGGCCGAAAGCCGCTTCGCGGAACACTCTCGACGCCGCCGGAAAGATCGCCTCTTCAGACGCTGACCGTCACTCCCGTTACCTTCGAGCGACACCCGAACCTTCAAGCTGGACAAGTTTTACAGTTCAATTCGATTTTCATTCGGACGAGATGCTAAATGCTCTTGCGGTATCGCAGCCGGTGCACCGAAAGGCACCGCATCGGCGAGTCGAGCGTCTTTCTCCGTCGAAAGGGTAGTTTGCAAAAGGAAATGTAAACATTAGTTTCCGAGTGAATTCCGAAAGGAGCTATAGATGAAAGTTTCTCTTCTTTGATCGGACGAAGGTATCGATTTTTTCTTTTTCGAACGGTAACTCGATCAGAAACGCGGCCCAGCAGAGTCGAACCGTCCCCCGTCCCCATCCCCGTCGCCGTCCCCGTCGCCGTCCCCGTCGCCGTCCCCGTCGCCGTCCCTGTCGCCGCCATCTTTCATATCATTAAGTTTTTGTACTCTTTTTTCCTAGTGAATAGGCTTGCGTCAGTTTGTTGGTGTGGTAAATAAACTGCATTTCTTTGTGATAACTCGTATTATTTATTTCCCTCTCAACTTGTCCTCAGTTTACGCAAGCATTGCCGCGAGAAAGAGGAAACGGGGGAAAGAGCCGTTACACAGAAATAGAAAGATCACCTTTGTGTCAGCCTCGTCTCGTTTCCCCGTGCTCGTCGTGTGTCACGTTTCAATGTTTCACGATAAAACGAAATGTCATTTTCTCTCGTCTAATCAAAGTTGTTAACATTCTCCGTTCAGTGTTCCCAATTGTTCTCCGAAAATGTATCTCTTTCACCCGAAATCCCGTGGACTCTCGGCCAGAGAGACGCGCAAGAGCAGAGGGAACGATAGGGACAAGATCAGATAAGAAGAATGCATCTTTATTTATTGCACTAACAGATTGATGAACAGGTTCGCGTCAGTATCGATCACGCGAACTCTCCGACCCCTTCGTTGCTCGTCCCGAGCGAGACCCCGTCGGACGTTCCTCGACGTTTCCCCCGTAGCGAACGCGAGGAAATTTCAAACCCACCCCCACGCCCCTTCGACACCTCACGTTGCACCACTTCAAGATGCACGCATGCTCACGCCACGAATTTACAGCGCACTGCTCGCCGAGAATGTAGTTCGGAGGAGAGAAGGTAAAAAAACACGAGAAAGAACAGAAAATGAGAATATCGATCGGTGCGTAGGACCACGGCTCGGCCACGATCAAAAGGTACCATACACGCAATTGGGTTGATTACACGCTGGGCTCGACGAGCGAATCATTAATTCATTATTAATTCACGACAGCGAATTGCCATTCGCTCACGACACGGATTAATCAATTGATAACCATTGATTGATAACCATTTCATTCGAAAAGAAACGGGACTTCGGACTCGCCGTGTCGGTTTTGCGTTTCCCGTGTTCGGTT